TTCAAATAAATGTCTAAACAAAGGCAATAACATAATTTCAACCTTTGTTTTCAGTTCTCATTTTGCCCAAACCCACACAACACTCCACCCCCCAACTCCAAACTATGCTAAACATGTTTTCGATGGATATGTGAAAATGTTATGTGGTGAAAGACACACATCGATAACATTTATGTTCAATTTTTATCTTGTGTTGTTTTGTTATGTTTCTACAACAACAACAATAACAAACCATCTTACTGCTTGCTTAGCCAATTTTATTTTATTTTATTACTTTATCCTCGGTTCGTTTTTCGATTTCAGTAGAAAATTGATTTCATTATAGGTCTAAGGACTAAGGGAATGTCGAGGAGCCGTTTATTCTTGGGGTTTGCCGTTTTTCCATTAGCCAGATTTCATTTTTTTTGTTGTTTGCTGTTGTTTGTTCATTTCAATTTTCACAATTGCTTTGCATTCCTTGATTTCCGAAGTGGCTTTGACACTCTGTAGTGTGGTGGAGGAGTCGAAAGAGTGAGGAGCAGGCAAAAGAAGAGAAAGGAGTTAAGAAAAGAAAATTGTTGAACAAATGTAATTTTCACAATATTATTGTTTTTCTTTTTTTTCTTGGGTTTATTTACATCCCTGACACTCGATTCCCATACTCTCGAATCGAGGAGCCCAGGAATGGGCAAGTTCAAAGCGAGAATGTAATATTTATGTGTTGTTGTTATTGTTTCCCTTCTTGCTGTTGTTGTTTCGGATAGCACTATAACTGCCATGGGTTGTGTGTTTGTTGCAGTTGTTTTTTGAACTTTCATTTACAATATTGAATTTGGGATCGTTTTTTCTACCTCCCATTCCAGTGGCAAGCGGCAACAGCAGCACATCGTCATCCTCGAATGCCAAGGGGTTTGATTGCCCAATTTTTTCAAATTGACAGACTTTTTCCCCCACCATTTACAGCATAAACAAATTATGTACGTGATTTTACAGGTTTTTATTGAATTCCGGCAGTTTTTTTTCGGTGGTGTTGAATACTTCCATATACCCACTTCCGCCCTTGCCTGTCCAACGGACACATATGCCAAATGCCGATGTATTTTTTGCCAGAATATATTCAATTACTTTTGTGATTCTTTGCAAAAGGTAAGACAGAACAGCAGATAAAAAATACTTTTCCTCCGCAGTTTATTGAAGGAGTTATGAAGTATTGGAATTGGGCTTTAAAACGTTTCATGATGATTTTTTTGAGAATTAAAAAACATTGGAAAGGTAGGAACTCATTTAAAAACAAAAATACAAAAAGAGTTAAGTTCGGCCAAGACTAATTTTAAAAACACTCCACCATGAGGCATAGAAAACATTTAAATGTAAAACAAGTTAAAAAGGAGTAAGTTCGGCCAGCTCCATCATTTGGAACGAATTTGGAAATTTTCAAAAAATAAAATCCGTTAAAATTGGAAAGGTAGGAACTCATTTAAAAACAAAAATACAAAAAGAGTTAAGTTCGGCCAAGATGAATTTTAAAAACACTCCACCATGAGGCATAGAAAACATTTAAATGTAAAACAAGTTAAAAAGGAGTAAGTTCGGCCAGCTCCATCATTTGGAACGAATTTGGAAATTTTCAAAAAATAAAATCCGTTAAAATTTCTACAAAATTTTCTGTCACAGGCTGTAGTATCCATTACGAATTTCAAATACGATATCTCAAACTATTTTGGTGAGTATTGTACATAAAATCGTCAAAATACCGAATGGAGGAAGGAACCGATATATGGGGCCAATACGAAGACCTGGAGCTGTATAGACAATTTTCTGTCACAGACTGTAGTTCCCATTACGAACTCTAAATACGTAATTTGAAACTACTCCGGTGAATAATGACGCTATAATCATCAAAGTACCGAATATTGGGAGGTACCGTTATATGGGGGCTATACGAAGACGTGGACCTGAACAGATAATTTTCTGTCTTAGGCTGTAGTATCCATTTCGAACTTCAAATACCAAAGTTGAAACAATTTCGGTGAATAATGTTGCTAAAATCATCAAAATACCGAATATCGGGAGGTACTTATATATGGGGGCTTTATGAAAACGGGGACCTACATCGCCCAATTACGAACTTAACCCGCCTACTGGTAAAATAAACATGTGTGCAAAATTTTAGCCTTCTATCTCAATTCGTTCGAAAGAAAGCGTGATTACAACAGACAGACGGACAGACACACAGACGGGCATCGCTAAATCGACTTAGAGTTTTACGCTTATCAAGAATATATGTCCTTTGTTGGGTCTGACATGAGCATTTCGAGGAATTACAAACGGTATGACAAAGTTGGGGTCTTCAAAATTGTATAAAATTAGTGGTTCGTTGGTATGAGTTCTATACCAAAAAGTGAACCTACATATAAGATTTTCTGCCACAGGAGTTGTTACCTATTGCAAGAAATATCAGATTTCAAATAATTCCTTTAAAAATAGGTGGATATAATCATATAACTCTTATATTAGAGCTACAAAAAAACAACAAGACAAACTTTCTGTAGAACCTATTACGAAATATAAGCTCCGAATTTCAAACAATTCCGTTGCACTTTTGTACACAAAGTTCTTCCACAGAAGGTAGAACGTTAAAACGTGTGGCTTGAGCGTAGTAGTAGTAGCGAGATACTGTTGTCTGGTGGCTGATTTTGTAACCCAGATATATAGGGGTTATGAATAAACATGGACCATTTACGACCACGTTGACAAAATACACTTCCTACCCTAGATAAGAAAAAAACTTCACAGCAGAGGCAGCGGGATTAGAAAACGAGCGTGATGATCTCCGTCGTACCAACCCTACTGATCCTAGAATCAGTTCTCAACCTGTCGCTATCCACCCACATATTGTCCGAAGCCTGGAAAATGGGCCGGGTCGTCCTTTTACTGAAGCCAGACAAGGATGCCAGTAAAGGCGATTCGTACAGGCCGATTTCGCTTATGTCACCAGTAGCTAAGACTCTTGAGGCTTTACTCCTCCCCAGCATTAGAGGAAGCTATCCAATCGCCAACCATCAGCACGGATTCCGTCCACAACATAGTACCACAACAGCATTACACCCCATTTCCACACATATTAGTAGGGGATTGAACCAGAACAAGCCGTGTGACAGAACAGTGTTGGTTGCCCTTGACCTATCAAAGGCATTTGATACGGTCAATCGTGCCATACTGTTTGAGGACGTGCAGAGAACCACCCTCCGGCCAAGTTTGAAACGTTGAATAATTAACTATATGTGTAGACGCCTGTCGTACGTGGAATTCCGGAACAAGAAATCCAAAGCCCATAGAGTGAAACAGGGTGTTCCCCAAGGTGGGATGATATCTCCCGAACTCTTTAACCTCTACCTTTCTGGAATTCCTCGCCCTCCAGACGGCATAGAGATCGTAACGTATGCGGATGATTGTACGATCATGCCGTCGGGCCCAGTGGTCGATGACATATGTGAAAGGCTGAACACCTATCTCGCAGAGCTTGCCGCATACTTCCACGTGAGGAATATGAAAATATCCGCCACGAAATCAACGGCCACACTCTTTACCACATGGTCTGCGGAGATGAGAACACAGCTGAATGTTCAGGTCGAGGGGAATCTAATACCGACCACGAACTACCCCAAGATTCTTGGGGTAACGTTCGACAGCATGTTCAAGTCGTCCGCGCAAGCCACAGCTATCTGCGACAAGATGAAAAGTAGGAACAAGGTCCTTAAGGCGCTAGCCGGCAGCTCTTGGGGTGCGGACAAAGAAACCTTGTTGGCCTCTTATAACGCGATAGGTCGGTCTGTGGTCAGCTATGCGGCTCCAGTGTGGTCTGCGAATACTAGTGCTACGCAGTGGAAGGATATCCAGACCTGCCAGAACGCTGCCCTGAGAACTGCGACAGGGTGCCTCCTCATGACACCAGTGGACCATCTACATGAGGAGGCGAAAGTCCTTCCCTACGTCAGCATAATCATATGTTTTCGTTGCAGTACCTGCTTGGGTGTTACCGTAAGAGTCATCCCAACCATCATATGGTGGATAACTCTCCCCCACCCAGACGTGTCAGAAAGGACATACATGATCTAGAGAGGGAGGTCCAGCGCTACAAGAGAGAACCTCTAGATCAAGAAGCCTATCAGGCAGGTCTGAGTGGCATTCACACCGATGCTGTCGCGGATGCTATTTGCAGTTATAAAGTGAATGCCGTCCACCCCCCATCCATTGCAGCTGAAGAACGTCAGCTGCCTAGACAAACCACGGTAGTTTTGGCGCAATTACGTTCAGGATGGTGTAGTCGTCTCAATTCGTATTGGGCACGAATTGATGAAGATGTGCGTGACGCCTGCCCGTTAAAGTAGTCGAATTTCTAAACCTGGAGCTGGAACCAGATTAGCAGAACGCAAACACTCACATGTACTACTGCTAAAACAACAACAACCAACCAACTTTTCTCTTGGCCAAAAGCTCCCACAATAGTTATGGGAATTGGCTGCACTTTCGAGTTTTGATTTCATATTTGTTATGGTCGAAGTTGGATGGTATTGATCTGGACAACGTTTACTTTCAACAACACACAAGAATCAGAACAATTGAGCTTTTACGGAAAAGTCCAGGACAATATCCCACCGTTGATTCAAATCTGCTAAGATGGAATTGGGTAGCGTATCAAGGGCTTCGGGCAGCAACTTTTCCATTTGGTTATGTAAAATTTAATGACAAGGATATGCTCCTATAAGCGTGTATTTGGCTGACAATATTTTTTAGTAATAACGGCATACTTTCCTCTTTGATATGAATTGAAGATCTAATTGTTTATCTTAAATGATAATACCTCACATTAGAACACCCTATACATTTATACTCGCCTCGACAATTTCAGATAATTCAGTCTTTATGTAGAAAATTATTACTCGATTTAATTGAACTCATCGATATATGTACCTACATATTTATATTAAATTTTAACTATTTTTTCAGAATTTACTTACCATCATTTTCCATGCATGGTTCTCCCGATGCCGAACATATCGACAGAACATAATTCTGATTGTCCTGTTGCAGTGTGAACTTTGAATTTCTTAATGGACTCATATCAATGCTGCAGAATGAAAGAAAAGAATACAACATAAATAAGAAAATTAATACCACAACCGAAAGGTAAAATAAATTGCAAGTTAAAAGCAACAATTAAATTTTTTTCCAACAATTTCTCCAACAATCATCAGTGTGTAATATAAATAGTAATGAAATACGATATTAAGACCTCTTTCAGGGTTAAAGCAACATTGCACAAGGTAAGAAAAATTTTAAAAATAGTAATACTTATTAAACGAGAATGAAAACAAATTAAGGTTTCCCTTCTCTCTTAATGAGCATTGTATCTTGATCTTTAACCAAAAATTGCAACTTACATTTCGTTGTCATGAGCCACAACAGTACAGGGTGGCAATTCATTACAGGCCAACGGAGTTCCAAAGGAAAATGTATAAACGCAATCTTGGAAACCCATTAGTTCTGGATGGACATTCTAAAATTAAAAAAAAAATAAATTTAGCAAATTAAAAAAAAATTAACCACATTCATTTCGAATACCCTCAAATCAACATTGGTCCTATATAAATAAGAAATCGGATATTTTTAATTTGTCGTCTTAATAGTATTGTCACTAAAAGATATATTTTGATTAAAGAAGTGAATAATCAGAACTAGAGCATAAAATAAGGCTTACAAGATCATATCTCCAATCCATACCGAGATTGTTTCGAGAGAGAATTTCTCACCCGTAAATTCATTACAAATCAAAAATAAACTTCAGATGTCATTGTGAAGGATATTAACTTAAGTATCCATTCAAATTGTTAGCAGGCTCACTAAGAAGTACCGGTAAAATTTTTCAATTAGGGCCATAGGCAGAATAGATCTAGTCTGGTTCTAGATGAACTCCAAAATTAATATTGCAAACTTTCGAAACCATAAATATTCCTAAGGGCAATAAATCGGAAATCCATATTCTGCCAAATTTCACATATTAGTCAGTAACTAACGAGGCAAATACGTCGATCTTCAATTGAACAAAACCAAATCTCATGGATTTATGGTCAAACTCAAGTCTTATTGTTGTAGCAGTATATATCCTCCACCGTGTGAAAGCTTGACTTGTGGTCATATAGGGTATCTTTCAAATCACTGAAATTTAGAGGATTATATGGAGGGTCTGGTCGTGGATTAATATTAAAATTCTTTGAGAGTCTAGAAGTGGATTTATATGAAATTTTTTTGAAGGTCTAGACGTGGATTTATTTAAAAAATCCTTTGGGGGTTTAGACGTGGATTTATATGAAAATTCCTTGAGCGTCTGGACGTGGAGTTATTTGAAAATCCTATATGAAAATTCTTTTAGGGTCTAAACGTGGATTTATATGAAAATCCTTTAAGTGTCTAGATGTGGATTTATATGAAAATTATTTTACCTTCTAAACTTGGAGTTATTTGAAAATTGTTGAGGTTCTAGACGTTGATTTATATGAAAATTCTTTAGGGGTTTAAACGTGGATTTATATGAAAATCCTTCGAGGATCTAGACGTGGATTTATATGAAAATCTTTGAGGATCTACACGTGGATTTATATAAAAATCCTTTGAGGATCTAGACGTGGATTTATATTAAAATTATTTGAGGATATAGACGTGCCCAGCCATAGATTCAAACGTGAATTTTAAACGTATCTATTGAGCTTCTACCCGAAATGAAGAAGTGGATTTTTATAACTATTTCGAGGGCCTTTCTTTATACTTTATGGGATCTCGAAAAATATTCCGAGATGTTGAAAACGAAATTACAAATGTTATATACCATCCATTTTGCGGTAGAGGGTATAAAAATTCATAAATTTTAAAAAAGAAACGACTGCACAGTCTTTAAGTTAAAGCCAAAACTACCCTGCTTTTCTAGGCTTTCCAGCAAATCTCAAAAAACATTGTCTTGAAGTCCACTTAAAGCGGATCATGAACTAAGTTGTCTTAAAAATATTCTGTCTAGTCTGGCAATTGATTTTTGTCTATTATGAACCGGAACAGATATAAAGACCAAAGTTCCAAAATATAGCGTCTGTATATTTATAATATACCATTCGGCAGAACAACCTGGTTTTTTCCACGAAGTATTAGTCTGTTGTTTTTGCTTATCTCCACGCAGATAGAATATGCTTAATATTTAACAAGTGTTCTAAACAACCTCAAATTGTCTGGACTGACGGTATAACAACAACAATGTTATGTGACACGTCTTAGTTTACGTGGTGCATTTTCGTCTGAAGTTGTTATGTCGTTTTTGCATTTAAATTGCAATAAATCAAGTACTTCTGGGACATCTTAGGTCTACCATCCAGGGAAAAAATAGAGATGTACGCCACCTTCTAAAATCCATCTGCCGATTTTAACATAATTCATTCCTATTTTCGTAGAAAAATAAATATATGTCCCTTCCACTATTTCAAAATTTAAATACTGTCAATTTAATTTCCAATAAAGTGTTCCGGAGCAGCGTAGTACCAACCTTAGCATCTTTATCACAGTAGAAATTGATCATTGATGAATAATTTGTGGCGCCGTTACATGGTGTTGGCGAGGAATGGCGAATAACGAGTTTATCGCCCTCAATTGTTGGTTTGGGTTGTACAGTTCCGTAATTGAAGAATCTGAAAATAGAGAACATATATATTTACAATTGATGTAAAGATTCTGTAAATTCAACTTTTTCATACTTTTCCTTGTAATCTGCATGGGGCTTTTGAAAGCATACACTGCTCTCTGCAGGACACATTGCGTTTTCGGCATACAGGACAGGTTTACAGACGTTTATGATAAATGCATTACCTTGACGATCACTTATTCTAAATTTAAAAAATAAAAAAAAAACATATTTATTTTTAGATACTCTGAACTTCTGCTATATTTCTGCTTACCTATAATTACTGTCACTTAGCGGCATAAGATTAAAAAGATGACCTGTCTTGGGATCACGTACCGAACAATCATTGCCTTTAACATTATCCGGTTCGGGTAAACATGCTAATGGTGTTTCAAATGTTATGTAAAACGAACAGGTATTGGGTGACTGAAGAGAGCAAGAAAAAATTATTTTAACCTTGATTTTTTCTTAATCTTAATAGTTTTATAAAACTTACATAAGATGTCACTCGTGACTGATCTTTGTCCAGTGTATAATCACATCCCATGTACACATGTAATTTATAATTTTCCGATGAATTTGGACACTTTTCACCATTGGAAAATGTGAAATACATTTTGCCATTGTGGTATTCCAATTGATGATGGGTTCCTAAAAAATTAAAACAAAACTGTGTTACTGATACATTTTGAAGCGACCGAATGGAAATAGATATTTACCCAGTACATATTCTTTATTGTTGGCCTTTTTCAAACAAGCAGCTACATCGGAACGTCCATTACAAGTTCTGGTTAAATTTCCACAAATATTAAATTCAAAGGTATCGCCAAATGCACCTCGCGTCCAATGAGCAAAATCTGTTTGCAAGGTACTAAAGTTAAATACATGACCATAGACCGGTTCGGTGAGGAAACAATCATTTGTGGAAAATGTCTAGAAATTTGGAAATATACAGATATTATTAAAAAAGTAGTAATAATATTTATAATAATGAAATATTTGATTGATTTACATGCAATTCAATTAACTCAACTACGAAGAAATGGTTGAGCTTAGGAAATCAGAAGTGAGGAATCCTATTTTCTATTTTGACCTGATTTCCAAGAATATTTTTAAATTCAATTTTTTACACATTTTTAAGGGCCTAAAGTTCATTTTTTAGGAATATTTTTGAGGGTTTTAAAGACAATTTTAGTTTTAAAGACAACTTTAGAGTGCCTAAACGAGGATTTTTAAGAATATGTTTTGAGGACCTAATGTTGTTGTAACATCTTCACACGCTGTGTTTGTCCAGGTTCAAGTATAGACTGCATTCTCAGGCTGTAACTAATGATCTTCTGTAGTGAGTGAAGTAGTTTTGACAGTGCAATTAAAGAGGTGCATAGTATTGTGTGGAACTTTATCACACGCCGGGCAGACGCTTCGCACATTTTCTTTAATTCGTTCCCAAGACGACTGCACCATCCTGAACGTAATTGCGCCCAGATTTAAATGTAATGAATGGACTACGAGGGCGGCATTCATTCTGAAAATGTTGATGGTATCTGCGGCTGCGGCTGCACCTGTATCTTCTTGATTAGACCCTCTCTCCTTACTGACACGTCTGGATGGGAGAGTTTTATCCACCATATGATTGTTTGGATAACTTCCACCATTACACGCAAGCATGTAATTCAACGTAAGTATATGAGACAGTTGACGTTCTTTAGCTGCAATGAATGGACTCCGAGGCGGGAATTCATTGCGAAAATGTTGATGACATCTGCGGTTGCACCTGTATCTTCTTGATTTAGAGCTTCTCTCCTTCCTGACACACATGGGTTTATCCACCATAAGATGGTTTGGATAACTTCCACCATAACACCCAAGCAGGTAATTCAACGAAAGTATATGGGAAAAACCTCCCCCTCCTCATGTAGGTGGTCCACTAGAGTCATGAGGAGGCACCCTGTCACAGTTCTCGGGGTAACATTTTAACAGGTCTGTATGTTTTTTTTATTGCGTAGCCTATAGCGGCCTATCACATTATAAGAGGTATCCTTGTCCGCACTCAAAGTGCTGCCGGCTATCCCATTGAGGACCTTGTTGCTGCTGTTCATTTTGTCACATATAGTTATGGCTTGCGCAGACGACTTCAAAATGTTGTCGAATGACCCTTAGGATCTTTGGTTTGTTGATGTTAAAAGCATTAGCTGGCAAGCCCCGAGATGTATTCTCTACATACCCTTTCTTCACTTTCTCGTTTTTATATCTTTCCTATCGCCAAAACATTATTCTTCCTAGAATGACCACAATGGGCGAAAGGTCTCCGAGTGAAGTAACAACTTCAACAATTTTTTGTAAGACAATTGAACACCCATTAGAAACTTCAAAAACAAATGCTCAGCCACTTTCTTTAAAAAAATGGGGAAACCCATCAAAATACCAAATATCGGTATCTTTATATAGGAGATATACCACAATGGGAACCTGTTATATACCACAATGTATTAACTGTTTTTGGCTTGGTAGTAAGGAACCCGTAACAACCTGCAAATACCAAATTTCAGACAATTCCGTTGAAATTTGTGGCGAATGTCTTTGAAATGCCTTCAATGAGGGGACATATTGGGGCTATACAAGTTGACCGCTGTAGTCCATCCTCGAACTTATGTGATTACAACAAACAAATTTTAGTAAAGCCAGACGCTGAAAATACGCTTCAGTCATTAAAACAAAACATTATAGTTTAAAGCATTTCTTTCTTCACTTCAAAACTGTAAACAAAGAATTTGAATTGAATTGAACAAACGGACATGGTAAAATCGGAGTAGAATTTGACTTTAATCATGAATGTATACACCTTTTTGGGTCTAAAAGTGATTATTTCGATGAGTTAAAAACGGAATGACAAATTTAATATACTCTCCATGTTATCGTTGAGGGTATAAAAAGCATTTCGCCAATTAGGTTCAGGCAAAAACGACAAATTAGCATTACTGAAATTGTTGAGAGAAACATTTCTATCTTTCTCTTTGCCATTTAATGTTTGGCTCTCCGTAGAAGAGAAAAGTATGAAAAGTCAAAAACATATGACTATCAAAACAAAAACAAACATAAATATTAGCGGTAAAAAAAACTGTGAGCTTCGACAATAAAAATCCTGATTATGCAGGACCGATACAAACATATATGAAAATTAAATTTCTTAAAAAAACTTCAATTTTTTACAACTACAATATGCCGTCATATGGTCGAGTGACAACAATGTTTTGCACCCCCTCTCAACAACCCCCTTGGTGACGTTAAACTAACAGGCAAGTTGGTTGTCAACAAACCATGTATGTGAAAATGATTTCATTTCAAAATTTTCCTCGATGAAACACATATGTACATGCATATTTACTTACCAAAGGATTTGTTCCTGTGTCATCACTTGCTGCTGCGTAATTGACCTTGAAGTGCATGCATCCCAAGAGCAAAAAAAGAAGGCACCAGATTGGCGACACTCGAAAGGTCATGATGGAAAACAACAACAAACCAAATCTATGCGATTACTTGTTAAACTTCACTTGCTTTGTGTTTACTCCAATCGAAAGGGGGGAGGATAAACGAGCGGTGGTTGTTTTGGCTGACGTTTGCTTTTTTAATTCACAAAGAGTTTATATTTGGAAAATATAAACAAAGAACATTTTTTTCTGTTTTCTTCACTTCTAATCTAACAAACTTTATTGACTTTTAACGAAACGCTCTATTCTGTGTTGTTTCGATTATTCATTGATAAATAATACCACTTTTGTTAACTGCCGGTATATTTTGTTATTAATCACTCTCCACTACACGCACGTACCGATATCTCACGAAACACGAAACGATTTTTGTTAAGGTATTATTTTACGCCTTTGATTATCAATATTTTGGCCGTGTTATTAAATTCCTCGACCACAAAACACTAACAACAAATTAAAAATTCAATGCAACTAAAAACGACGAGACGCATCCAGTTGCAATCCGCGCAAATGGAAACTCACGAACATACTGATCGAATTGACGCAGGTGTTTATGTTATGTTGTTCACAAAGCATTTGACGCGTTCAAGCTTTTTGGTCGAGTGACGGGTGAACACAAATATGTCCTCTATTTGATACAACAGGGACGCCGATTTCATGTAGCTATTATTGTCGAATTTAATTTTTAGAACGAATACTTTTCCAGGTTTATTTATTATTTTTTTCCAGAAAATTTTTGCAAACGCGTAAAAAGCTCCTTCGCTTCGAAAGTAACTGTGAACTGTCAACATCAACTGTTTTGTTTACATTCAGTGATGCACATTTAGCGGAATTCACCAATGTATTAATATGGTAAAAGCGCGAATTTAAGCAATTCTATACCCTTCGATTCTGTGTGCTGAGTATATTAACTTTTTCAGTTTGTTAACTTTATAAGTAACCAATTCAGACTCTATTGGCAATAAGTTGTGGTTGTAATTGTAATTTCCTGCATATACAGATCAAATTTTGAGTACTACTACTACTTACTACTTAATTGTAATTTATTGACATTTATTTACTTGAACGCCGTTCCCAAAGACATAATAGTGATTTGAAATTCAAAGAGATTCAATAACTTCAAGAGATACAAGAACTACGAAAACTATTCTGGAACAGAGCATGCCTCTGTAAATCTGCCATGATGGGGACTATACCAAACCCTAGATAAGGTCGGCTAGGAAGACTACTTTTGACAACGATTTGATAATAAAATTAGTAGTTTTTGCACTATTGTAATAAAAAAAACAAACAACTTATTGCATTGGTGTTGAATAAATAATTAAAAACCACGAAAACTGAATGAAAGGTTAAAATTTCTTTTCGAAATCATGTTTTATATATCACTAAAGGTTCATTTCGCTACAGACACTGCAGATTTTGATATAAGCATTTTAAAAATACTTTTTCTTTTCTGAATCATTTTTTTATTATTGGGTTCTGGTGGCCAACCGAAGGTGCACATTTTCAGCTGATCTCTTTGGCAAGTAAACACGATCTTTTTGTTTGTTTACAAACTGCTGGACAACGAATGTTTTCTCATCGGAGAAAAACAAATTCGGCACTTTACCACTTTCGGCCATGCGAAGGATCTCTCTATCTCTTTTGTGTCTATTTTCTTTCTCTTGTGGTGTAAGTTCTTCAACTTTTTGGATTTTCAATGGCTTTACCCCGACCTCATTATAAATATCGCGATATGTTCAGCTCACGAGCCATTTTTCGGCCACGCGATGCGGTTTTCGATCAAGTCGCTTCTTTACTTTTTGAACTAATTCCGCTGATGTTGCTGTTTTCTTCCGTCCACTTCCTTGACGTCGGGCTACGAGCTAACGAGCGATGGTACGAGACAAAAAAGATTTATTTACATTTAAATGCTAGAGTGCTCTGACGATAGCCACTTGTGGTTTTCCAAATATAAATAAATCACACAATTACGCTTGAATTCTATCAGGAATAAATTTTTTCTAGAAAATTCTCACCAACCGCTTGTAAACAATATAATGAGCTGTCGCTGGAATAATTTTAACAGCTGTCGAACGAATGGCTTAGAAATGACAGTAGTCTAAAGTTGGTTGCAGTTTTTTCATCTCACTTTGTATGTGGCATACGGAATCAATCCATTTTTGTGAAGGCCAAGATATTAATTATATTTACCAACACTGGTAACAGCTGATTTAGTTTTACTTATGTCACATTCGTAAACACCACCTTAAACGGTCATTACCGCCGTTCGGTCGACAATTCTGCTTTGCGTTTATTTTTTATCATCACTTTATATTTTGCTGACATTTGGAACTTATTTAAATTGGTGGTTAGCCTTGCAGACAAAAACAGGGTTTTGGTGGTCCAAGTCTTAGATTTCCCATTCGACTAATGTTTTGTATTAAACGCCCCTTAAAATGTCATCTACAAGTGAAATTGAAGCTCTACTAAAGAAGGCCGTTACCCTTTTACAATCTTCCCATGCCAATTCGGCGGCAGAGCTCAGACTGTTGTTGGATGAAGAAATCAAGAAACGTTATGGAGCCGACAAGACACTAACAAATAACATAAATAAAAAACAGCTTGAAGATGAAGCAAACTTTCCCGGTAGAGCAGTTACACCACCACCTCAGCCGGTTGAAGCAGAAGAGGTTATAAATCTTGTAAACTCTCCGGCTAAGACAATTTCAGATTCTCCAGACACTATTGCTGATTCAGATGATGCTGTAAGTGGCGCGGGTGGTGCAGGAACTGCCGGTGCAATGTTGTCGACCACTGCCGAGGATGAGGCGAATCTAAAAGAGTTTGGCGATCTTAATTGTTGTGTCTGTGGTGAAATGATGTTCACGGCCACAAATCGTTTGATAGAATGCTCACGTTGCGGTGCCCTTTATCATCAGGAATGCCACAAGCCTCCCATTACAGACGAAGAGGCATCCGAAGAGCAAGGTCACAATTGGCAATGTGACAATTGTGCAACCAAACCAACTACTAGCAAAACCGGTAGTCAGGTGGTTGTGATACCCGATGAACCCATGCCCTTGATTGCTACCTCTGTGGCTTCGATAAAATCAAAATCCTCGGCAACATCATCTCGCTCCTCATCATCATCGAATTCATCCTCGCCATTTTATAAAATGGAACAAGCCACCGCATCTGCCACAGCAAAAACTTCTTCAAAAAGTCACAGCAAAGAAGATCGATCTTCTTTGGGTACGAGCACAAAAATATCCTCATCATCGTCGCTGAATGCACCAAGTTCGTCATCGTCTTCCTCATCCTCGAAGAAACATTCCTCATCATCATCGTCTTCGTCGAGCAAAAATAAATCATCGTCATCTTCTAAACACCATCATGACAGTAGTAAACGTAAATCGAGTAAATAATAATGATGCATGTTGGAAATGGAAAAAACCTTGTATTCGAAACTTATACATTTTGACTGGCATTTTTTTAGAATTTAGTAATTAATGGCCACCAATTTTTTATGAAATATTTTGAAATAAAATATTTATTTGGTAAATAAAAGAGTAGTAAAATAACTGACTGACTAGGAATCAACGCCCAACGAAACGTCTGAAGCTTGAATCTTGAACTTTTCCACGGGAGCCCGTCTTGGTGGATAAGACTGGCTTTTTTCGAATTTCGTACTAAAAGCGAGCGACAAGTACTAAAACGTACAAAAAACTTGATTAGAATGAGAGTAACAAAAAGTTTTCGGAAATTCGAACTTTAAATTTACGACAAGTTCCAAAATGGTTCCATTTGGTATTATCTGAACGGATGGAGCGGAAAACTTGAAGTTCAGTATGGGAATCAAGGTTGGAAAAAAAAAGTTTGATATATGAAGGTGATTTTGGAAATGTGTACGAGTGCACGAAAATGACTAAATAATACTATATTTGGTGCAATTTGTTCTCGGTTGGACCGCTAGTGCTTGAAATCTGAAATTTGGTATTAGGGTCGCTGTTAATGTGTAGCCCGGACATATGGAAGAGGTTTCGGAAATGGTTGTTCGAAAAGCACTGATATTGAGTGAAGGAGCAGACATAAAATTCTGAATATTGATATAACATTGAGGGTATCCGTGTTTGAGATTTGGCAGTGGTTTGAAATGCGTACTAAATATGTTCGAAAAGTACTAATTGATACTTAATTTGGTATTGGGGAATAATGATGGTCAGATATGGAGGTGGTCTTGGAAATGCGTAAATTGAAGTGAAGGGATAAAGCTTAAATCCCGCAACTTAATTTTAAGGTCTCTGTTTGTATCTGGGATTGAGATATGGAGGTGGGCTTAAAAATTTATACTATAATTGTACGAAAATTTTGTATTGGATGAAGGAATGGAGATGAAAGCCTGAAATTTGATATAGATGTCAGTGTTTGTGTATGTTGTTGAGATATGGAGATTGTGTATTTTAACTGTACGAAAAGAACTAAATTCTACCAAATTTGATATTTGGTGAAGGGAAGGAGCTGGGATTTGATATAGCTGTCACCGTTGGTGTCTGTAGTTGAGAGAAGGTGGTTTTTGAAATGCGTAAGTGCAAGATGTCAAAAAATGTTCCGGTGGGCGTTGGGATGGAATCTAATCACGAAAGATCGCATGAGATTATGGATTTTCCCGTCGTATATTTTCTAGTGTTGCGAACGGATCGGCAAGTATTATATATCCTCCTGGGAGAGATACTGCAACCTATTTTAATATATTATATCCTAGCATTAAAAACCAACGACTTTGTATAAAATCCGTATCCGTAGATAGGTACCTATCTTCAGAAAAGGTTAAAGAGTATTATTTATTGTTTCATATAATGAACGTATACAACAATTACCAATATTTATTTTAATGAGATAAAGTAAAACAATGTCTGCCGGTCGTTTGAAGATGAGATGAAAAAAAAAACAAATAATTGATACAAAAATTATTATTTAAAAATTTAAATTTCAATAAGTTTTCTTTAACCAAAGTACTTAAATCAAGAGAGACAATTTGGGCGAAATGCTTTCATAAATGTAAAAAAGTAAAAAAAAAATAATACAATCATTCGATACAATGGAATGCCGGGCAACTGACCGTGGCAGGGATTTTACGATGGCGACCTATGCACTCGACGTGATTTCTTGACGGTAACAGCCGGTGTTCGAGGACTCTCATCGCCACCACCCACTTTACGTACGTTGACTCTAGTCACTGGGGTTGAGGAGCTGTTTGTTGTTTTTGCCGCCAACGGTGTTGATTTACTACTGCTCGATGTAGTATGGGAATTTTCTTCGGTTGCCGGTTGTAACGGTTTCTTCTTGCGTTTCACATTGACAATCACATTGGCATCCATGCTGACATCTAATTCAAAATTAAATTCATATGTTTTGGTTGGTTTTTTATTTGGTGTTAGCCTATCGTTTATAATTGTTTTACCCGAACGTGATGAGGACATTGAAATGGCCGGTGACATACGGATACTTGCCTTGGCATTCATGGGAGTACTTCTAAGTCGCGGCGAAGAAGTTGATGATGTGTTGTGGCCAGATGGTGAAGGTCTTTTTAATGGCGATCGGCGACTACGATTTTTTGCCGAACTGTTTATGGAACCATTTAGTTTGGTACGCTTTGAAGGTGATGGTGATGACAGCGGAGATCTGGACACATCCAAGGATTTCCTTTTCAATGATGAATTTAAAGTTACAGGTGACATTTTCAAGACATCTTTGGGAGTCGATTTAGGCAAACGTTTTGGTGTAACCTTAGGTGTAGATTTATCTTTTGTTGTTTTCAGATTGTTGGTTTTCGGTTCCTTCTTTATAGGTCTTTTGTTATCGTAAATGACATCACCATCGTCGTCATCGCTGGCATCAATTACTTCATTTTCAGAATCATCTACATCCACAGGAGCAGATTTTTTAACTTTAGCTTTAGTTTGGGCTGTTTTAGCCTTACTTGTTGACGGCATTTCTCCCCGGGATTTCAACTTTAATTCCAAATCCCCTGAGTTGGGATATTTCAACGCCTTTAATGCATTTTGGAAAATTTTACGACATTTCTCATAATCGGGAGTGGTATTATATTCCATTTTCGAAACATATTTCATATATTCCAGTACAGCTTCGGGCACTGCAGACCCGAATAGACTTTTCAAGCTCTCCGAAATTTTCGACATAAATTCCTCTTTGGATTTTTGAACCTTTGAAGGATTTGCCAATAACTTATCTCTAACCCACGGAAGTTCAATGCCAAGCCATTCGATTAAATTATAACCCAAAATTTCCATATCTGCTCTCATTGTTGGCACTCCCAAATGGGCATCTCTAGAAGTGTAATCGATTGTACCATTATGCATTTTTTTGGGGTCCGGTTTAAAGTCTTTGGTGGTGAAACGTGAGGCCAAACCAAAATCGACCAAATATGCTTGATGTTGTTGTTTTGGTCCATAGCCCAGTAAGATATTGGCCGCTTTCAAATCGGCATGTACGTAACCACAACCATGAATAAATTCATAAACATCGAGCATTTGTAGAGCCAATCTATAACAGGTACCCTCCGGAAGTCTACGATTATTTTCAAGAAAATATTTAGCCACATCAGAACCATAGCGCGGCATAACAATAAATCGATGTTTAATGCCATTGATTTCTGCTGAACCGTTGCCGACCATATATGGCATTCCTAAGCTCTTAAGACCATGATCCTTTTGAAATCGGCGTACATCGTCTAACTTTGCATTGCGCATATAAAAATGCATTTCAACGAACAAGGGTCCATTGTCATGGGGCTCCTACAAGCAATAAAAAAATTGTTAAAAACAAACATACGTAGATAAATAAGTTTGGGAAAATCATACACATTTTACAACATATTCGTATTTGTTTTCTCCGGGTTTGGTGGCAGAATAGATTTCACCAAAGCCGCCTGTGCCTATTGAGGGTCCTATTTTCCATTCTCCCTTCATCATATCGGTTAAAATTGTACCCTCTTTTATTTTTTCCGGCATGTTGTATAGCTTTGATTTCTTTGCTCCTGCAGCGGCTTTTTTGGCGCCTCCAGCTGCAGCGGCAGCCTTTTTTGTTGCAACTTTCGGCATCCTTTTTTTGTAAACTGCGGAAACTTAGATTTTTAAAACCCCTCTTTACCGATCTTTATGGACTCTTGTCTCAGTGATGAAATACAAAATGAAATGAAGGGATTGTTTTTTGTTTGTTTGCAAAAATCGACGCTTGCCGTTTTCGCTGTTCACATTCAAACTTGTTTGTTGTCTGTTGCAGGCACCGAAGGGGAACATTTGTTTTCGGCGGCGTTAACTCATTACATGTAAACCAATCAGCGGCGGTGTGCTGTCAATTTCGTCGGTGGCAATATTTCGGTGCAAATGATAAATAATTACAAGCTAAATGGATTTATTTGACGGCGTAAAAAACAGAGGAGGACTAGCTTCCACCTTTGTTATGTTGCTTTTATCAGCGGTGCCCAAAAAGAAATATCTCTTTTTATTCAAATTTCTCTTTGCTTATTTAAATCAAGAACAAAACAGTGTTAAGTCATTATTTATACAAATATTTTTTATCCATTTGATTTATTAATTATTTTGGCAAACATTCGTGTTTAAAAACAATTAAATAGAACCGTAAAATATAAAGAAAAACAGAGTTTTAATTTTCTCTTAAATTATCTCTTTTTTCTCTTCATGTTCTAGAACACGGTTTTGAGCACCCCTGCTTTTATCCATTGTTTATGGCATTCGTTAAGTGTTTAAAACTTGGCTGCACTTGGGCGCCGGTTGCCGGTGTAAATATTTGTCATAAACGACAGAAATACAGTTTACTCATATTTATTACACTTCTACATGAATACACATTGACAAACAACTCTTTCTTAAAAAATTACTAAAATTGGTGCCAAAATTCTTAAATGTGTTATCGAAAAGAACAATTTCAAGCATTCACAAATGGTTGATAGCACAATAGTGTTTATAGTTTAGTTAATTTTCGAATGATGAATGTCAATAGTGTTGTTTCAGCCGATGACTTAAGCCAGCCAAATAAGCGCTTTATGTATTCCCTGCTTAAGTCATCGGCTGGCTTCTTCGGAAATGAACAAAGGAGTCTAGGGCCAAAATCGAACTAGGTCAACCTAAAACTCCTTTGTTCATCTACGAAGAAGCCAGCCAAATATGCGCTTTATGTATTTCCAGCCTTAGAAAAAGTTAAATTTTTCAGTTGAAGATGACGACTTTTCACACAAAACATGTTTCAGCACAATTATTTTTTTGCCACTTTTGCGTTCTTTTTTTTTTTTTTTTTGATATGTAAGTTCTAGATTATACATGATTCTCCTTTGAATCGCGCTGATATATTTTGTATGGTGGCACTTTTCTATTAAGAAACCGCAAAAAATTAAGATTCTGGCAAGCAAAGGAACAAAGCTTATATATTTTAGGGCAACAGAAATCCATATTTGGTCCATTCATTTTTACAAGTAAAAACGAAAAATCGATTTGAATAATTTGGCTTCAAAACGTATAATCGAATGTATTATTGACTAACATAAATGATGTTTTGAAAGTCGAAGAATTCCAAAGCCCATCTTTCATTAGGTAAAAAATCATAGAAGGCATTTTATCAGCTAACATGCCATAAAACATTCACCAAAATGTTGTCAAATATCTACCTACCAAATTTCGATTTGACCTATCGTTATTTTTCGTTGTAAAGAATCGATTTATCGATTAGCCGATAGTCAATTTACGTATCCCTACAAGCGTCTCATTTCATTCGTAAAAAGAAATTCGTGTCGTTCGGAGGTTTCGTGCCGTCAAAAAAGCAACTCGGAAGACTTGAAAAATATATACATATATTCATTCCAGTTAATATATAAATAAACAAAAAAGCAAATATCAAAAAATGGTAAATACCTAATCATAAAAAACAGCCACAAAAGGCGAAGAAATCACGTATCGAAGACAAACGGAAGAAATCATTGTGTCAATGAATGGACGGACAAATTGTGCTTGTGTTTTAAGAAAAAATTGTGGTGGTTGATGGTGGTAAATATTGTTGGGAGTTTTGGGAGCGTGCGTGCGTGGAAGTACGTGATGGAATAGAGGCGATATTATGAAAACGAAATGAAATGTAGCAACTTAATTTTAGAAATATGTTGAAAATCTTGTCCTCTTTAACTTAAATGATAAAATTTATGGCAATGGCCAAGTATAAATCGGTTTTAACCTCACTTTTTAAAGGGTTCGTTCGTTTGACTACAAATGCAATGATATGTATTCTGTTTCCTTCGTTACGTTCAATTTGTTGTTTTTAAAATTATGATTTGTGTGATTGTACATTAATTATTATTGTTTAAAGGCTGGAGGAAAAGCTGGTAAAGATTCTGGAAAAGCAAAAGCCAAAGCTGTTTCTCGTTCGGCCCGTGCTGGTTTACAGGTAAGAAAAAAGTTGCGCGCGTTGTAATAAAATGTGAGGCAAACAAATCAAACATTTTCCCGCCATTTTACTCTGTGTGTGAGGGTTGGGTAAATGCTTGGAGTTTTCACTGCATTTTTGTTTTTAATATTTTTAAGCGAATTTTTAAATTTTATTTTGAATTCTTTTAGTTTCCTGTTGGTCGTATCCATCGTCATCTGAAAAGTCGTACAACATCCCATGGACGCGTTGGTGCCACCGCCGCTGTTTATTCTGCTGCCATTCTGGAATATTTAACAGCAGAAGTAAGTAATACATCTAAAGTTGAATCTAACACATTAGTACAGCCCAAAGGCAAGCCAGTCAGTCGGCCACTTCATGTCGAAACATGGAAAATTCTATGCTTGCTTACATTTTTCCTAGACTTTTCCTTTGGTCGTTGTTGGTAAATGTATGATGCCTTTACGCGCCAAATGATTTAGCTGTTGTGTTCGTTTATCTTTTCTCTCTTTCCCTCCTTCTGACAACAAACAACAGCATAATTATCACATTGAAGAATAGTGTAATGACTATTTTTGTTGTTGGTGTGTGTATATGCTGTACACTGTTGTTTTATGTTTTTCATTTGACATGGTTCGACCTGACAGATGGTGGTCCCTTGTTTTGTTCTTTCATTCGTATGTTTTGTGGCGTCATTTGCCCGCCATTTTTATGTATTTTTTGTGTGTGTACATTTTGATATAAAAGAAGAGTTGCCACACTTTTTTGTGACTTTTTTGATTGCGCATAATTTTGGTCCAAAATTACGAACTTTTGTTTAAATCGATTACTTATTTTTAATTTGAATAATAAATTTATTCAAATTGTGATTGAATTAAAAAAATGCGCAAGAGCGCAAATCGTTCGCTGAAAATCATTAGAACGACTGACCCATTCAATAGATTATTCAGGTATTTAACAACTGATTGTTTGACTATATTTCAAGAAAGGTTTATAGATAGAATGTCATGTTTATGAATGAGGTAACCGTCTATTATCCCTAATGGACAAACAATTTTAAGAGAATTATAAATAACCCTTTTCCAGGAATAAAAAATGATTTTAGCATATTTCATGCATCATGTATTTCCTATAAATAATAATTGCATAATCTTTAAAATGTCTAGTATTTATATTTTTTTCTATTTACAATTGTTTGTCAAATTTAAGTTAGAACATTTTTCTGTATGAGGAGTTGAAAGTTTAAGCTAACGAAAAACACCCATTCTATGTTTGTCTTTTAATTAAATGATGCTTTCGAGTCGACATAAAAAACAGGCCCTTTATTAAAAAACTAAATGTTCCGTTGCTATTTTGCTATAATCCTTGTTTTTTATTTATTTTCCAGGTTTTGGAATTGGCTGGCAATGCTTCCAAGGATTTAAAAGTCAAACGTATCACTCCCCGTCATTTGCAATTAGCCATTCGTGGTGATGAAGAATTGGACAGTCTTATTAAGGCAACCATTGCTGGTGGTGGTGTTATTCCACACATTCACAAATCTCTGATTGGCAAAAAAGAAGACAACGTACAAGAGCCGCAAAGAAAAAATACCGTTATTTTATCGCAAGGGTATTAATTGTAATTTCTTTTTTTAATTTTTATTTCTATTGCTAATAATTATAATGATAATAACATAAACCTTACAACAAAAGATAAAATAATACAATTTTATAAACTTTCCTTTTTTCATTATATTACCAACAAAAATACAACACACACAATATAAGAAAGATACAAGAAGCTTATGTAATTTCAATAATGTCTTTGGTTATATATAAATACAATTGTATGTTTTAAATCTGCCATGATTTGTCCACTCCACCACCCATGCAACCAGAACAAAATTCAGAGTGTTTCTGTTGTTCATATACTTTTTTCCTTTCGGTAAATTATGAAATTCTCTTCTTTATTTAATTATATAAACAAATTATTAAATGAAACAATGTTTTTACGTTTAAAAGAATAAGTAAAATTACAAACAAATTTAAGATGTTTAAATAATTAAATTTATAAACAAAGAAGATTTACAAATAATCACAAACAAATAAAAATTACAAAATTGACTACATTTAGATAAAAACCTTAAATTGATTGTTTTATTGAATAATTGGTTTCTGCGGATGGGTCAGGGATGGGAACTGTCTATTACAGAAGTGTTAACGAGGAATTATTTTAAATATGGTATTTAAGACTCGCAATAGATAATAATCCTTGCGGTAGAAGTTTATCTCTACAGGGTGGGATAAGAAACTCCTACAAAGTCAAACGCCATAATTTTTACATTTTGTTTTAAATTCTCTGTTCTGGTGGCCAACCGAAGATGCACATTTTCAGCTGACCTCTTTGAAAGTAATCACGATCATTTTGTTTGTCTACAAACTGCTGGACAACGAATGTTTTCTCATCGGAGAAAGTCAAATTCGGCAGTTCACCACCTTCGGTCAAGCGAAGCAACTCCTTAGCTCTTTTGAGTCTACTTTCTTCCTGTTGCGGAGTAAGTTCTTGCTCTTTTTGGAATTTCAATGGCTTATTTTTATTTCGGCTTAAGTCTTATTAACATTAAATTTCTAGAGTGCTCTAATGATAGCCACTTGTGGTTGTCCAGCCAAATATAAAAGAATCACACTATCACGTTTGAATTCTATCACGAATAACTTCTTTTCTGAAAAATTCTCAACAAAATGCCTTCGTACACTTGTAAACAATATAATGAGCTGTCACTGGAATAATTTTAATAGCTGTCGGACGAGTGGTTTAGAAATGACAGCAGTCTGAACTTGGTTGCAGTTTTTTCATTTCACCCTGTATATGTTCCCGTTTTGGTATGGCCTCATATAACAGAACTCGTTGGAATTTGTAGTTCAAAGTGTAACACGTTTGAATGCTGATACTTTTATTTGGAAATGTTTTTACCTAAACTGGAGGGTATTTAAAGTTCCACCCGGCCGAGCTTAATGCTTTTTTTATTTGTTGATTGATAAAAAATAATTTTTTTTGCAAGAAACGACTCGTGTTCAAGTCTAACGGTTTAGTCAGGTCATGTTGAAGTTCACGAAACAGGCTCCAGGATTACTGCTATTGAGTCCATCCTAAGAAGTTATCTGTTTAAAATAAATATGTATTGTTTTCCATTGTTTGGGTTCCAACATTTTTCCATAGAGGTAATCACGGACGAGAAACACCATTCTAAAGTGTTTTTTACACCGACATACGGAGGGCTAGTTTCAAATGCTCTAAAATGGAGGTGCTTCAAATGTCCGAACGTTATTAGCGTCTAATATCATTATTTGAACTAATAAGATACGTAAGAAACGATTAAAACCTTTTTTAATGTTTGTGCCTTCGTGTGAGCTGTACTTCATTTTGTCCGGGGTAAAGGACTGAATCAGTAGTACAAAATAAGATCCCAAAATTCCAAAATTTGTTAATATTTATAAAAGAAAAACATGGTCTTGCATTAAAAATACTTAACATCGGACTTATTTTAATTTAAGGGAGGGGGATCAGATCGATGTGTGAACAATTTTCTGCGCCAATGATTTAATCCCAAGTTCTCTATAAAATTTCAAAGCTCTATCCTAAACGTTGCGAAATATATCTGAAACTATAGGGATCCCTTTGTATATGCTGGAAAACAGTTGAATGATAAGACAATTTGTAAAGAATTGTGAAATGTGTTAATTTTTGACAAAAAAGAAGCTATGTTTTTATTAAATGGTACAAAGTGACCATAAAAATTTATTTTGTTCAGAGAGCCACAATAAAATTTTATCCACAAAAATGACACTTTCCCCAAAAAATTGAAATATAAATGGAGATATGGGCCTCAATTCTCGTTTTATGAAAATGTGAAATGAAAACATTTATAAAGGAAAGAAATGTCAAATGAAAAATTTTATAAAGGAAATATTTTTCATTTTATATTTTCATAGAACAAGAATCCATCCCATGGACTTGGATTGGAAACGTGTAAAATTAACTGTAAACAATAAAATCATTATAATACCGAATTGAAGGCGTTACCGTTATTTGGGGGCTACACGAAGACATGGACCTGCATAGACACTTTTTTGAAATATGAACAAATTCCGGTTAATATTGTCCCTAAAATCATGAAAATCCCGAATATCGAGAGATATCTTTATATGGGGGCTATACGAAGACTTGGACCAACATACGCTGTAGTTATTTTTACGAACTTTAAATTCGAAATTTGGAATATTTCCTTTAATAAATATTTCTAAAATCATCAAAATACCGACTATTGGGAGGTACCGTTATATAGAGGCTATATGAAAACATGGCCCATTTACGAACTTAAGCTGCCTGCTGGCAAAATACACATGTGTGCAAAATATTAGCCTTCTGTCTCAGTTCGTTCGAAAGATAGCATGATTACAACAGACAGACGGATATCACTGAATCGACTTAAAACTTTACGCTGATCAAGAATATATATAGGTTAGGTTAGGTTAAAGGATGTGTGGCTGTGTAAAAAACAACCACTCCACTCGGAGACTTATTGGCCCATTGTGATCATCCTAATTTAGAAAAAATGAAAGTGAAATAAGTTAGGAGGTTAGAGTAGAATATAGATAGGAAATAGAAGAGTTAGTGGGTTTGCATCCACGGTGTAATCAGCGTATATATACTTTGTTGGGTTTAAGTTAATAATATTGAGTTAATATACCCTCCATTTATTGTAATTATAAGTTACTTTCTCAACAACTATTGTACGTAGATATATGGTATGTTTTGAGATTTAGAGTGAAATTTTATTTAGAATATTTCTTCTTTTAACACATTCTGTCTGAAATGAAGTTTTATGCTACTTTTATGCAACAACTCGAAAGTAGACAAAGAAGAAATTGATCAAAAAATTGGAAATATTTTCGTTTTTTTTTTTGGCAAAATTGATGCAAATATTTTCTTGATATACAAGATGGTGCAAAATTAATTCTCCTATCAAAAAATCTTATAAATTTTACGATTGACCCTAATGTCTTAATTACTGCAAAAAATATCAGAAGTTTACTTTTGAGCCACCTTGTACATGCATGTGTACTTGACACACATTCTGATGTTTTTTGGCTGTAATTAAAACATTTGGTGTCAATCGCAAAATTTATAGCATTTTCTGATAGGAGGGTAACTTTTGCGCCACTTTGTATATAGAAAATAGATCCCGTTTAAAGAGTATTAGCAATATTTTGAAAAATGTTTTACCAATTCTTACTTCTTATTGTTATCGGTAATATTGCCAAAGAGTTTAGCTGGCTCTAGCCCGGATTTTAAGGAACCTTAATTCGAATAATTCAATAATATGCTGGAGGAGGGAACTTGTCCTCTCTATTTAGCTTAGTTTACGATGTTATCTTTCTAAACGCTGTTCCTTTCATATTCAGCTCAACTTTCATAATTTGCGTGGTTTTTCCTGTATATTTTTTTCGTGTTGCAGAGTGTAATAGCCGAAAGGTTTATTTCATTCGTAACCGCCAATAAATGTAAATACAAAATGATTTTCTAAAAATATGGGAGAGTTTAAAGGCAATTTAAATTTAGTCCTTTTGCGGAAGACTAAAATTTGAGAAAAATGTGATTTTTTCTTTCTCGGGATACTATATGCGATGTTAATATTTATATGTATATCATTCACTTGCTCATGACGTTTTAGTAGTTTTCATGGGACTAATATTTACTGATAAAGACATTCTTATATTATTCACAATCTCAGCATTCAAAAATATAAAAAAATCCTTTTGACCAATATTTGTCATTCACTTACCACTTACTCTTATACATATGAATAAAACTCAAAAAAATAGCCCAATGTAATTAGTCATACAAAATAATCTACATAAATTTATATTTTATTTGAAATAAGTATTTAAAAAAAAAATATTTGGCATTGAACACTGCATGTGGACAGGCAGATATGTCCACACAAATCTCTTTGATTATTTTTTTTTCTTCTTAAAATATATTCATGTCACCAACGCGTTAGTACTAGTTGTGATTGTACAACTTCCGTTGACGCCGCAAGACGATGATGATGACACAACATTTAACCCAATAAATGAGGCACAGATTTTTGAATATCATCACAACGTTCATTGAGGTCAGACTGTGATAAGAAATTGAATGGAGAGAAAGAAACAAGAAAACGACGATGTGATTAAAAAACAAACGAAAATTATTTTGAATTGCTAAACTTACGGGATCCAAACCAAGGCATGCTCCCCACTCAACCAAGGTGATACGATGATCTTTGTTGGGATCGCAAGATTCCAAGAAGGGGGCAATGCAGTGTTCCAGACTCATGAGAGGAGCACGAATGGGGAAAAGTTCGTGACGGGATACAGAACGATCAGTATCACCATCTAAATCACACCATTTCCAGACGGCAGCATTAGCCCAGCGACGAGTCATATTGGTTTCAGCTTCCAATTCCATTTGCATATAATGTTCGGTGAGTTCATCACGTTCGGCCAAATCACGCATAACGTTGAAGAGCCAATCACGAACACGTCTGGGGAAATCTTTCATTTCCTCTTCGGTACATTCCTTCAATTCGTGGCATTCGCCATAGTAGTCAATGTGCAAGTGAGTATTGCTGGGATTCAGACAACCAGGATCTTTGGTGTCGCACAAACAACGTTGTTGGTAGACAGAGCAATCCGAGGGCCAGGTTTCGTTTTTGTTGGTGCAAACGCGACGTCGTGCATCTACCTCATCAGGGCATTCAGGGATACAGATACACTTGGCAGTAACGCCTTCCAAATGGCAGACACGACCAGCACCACAGTGCATTTTTTCACAAGGATCGACTAATAATAAAAAATAGAGTCATAAAAATAGTCTCTAAAGAGTGAGTTAATAATACTAACTTTCTACAACAGGATTCAAAATGTTGTTGGTATCAGCTGCCAATTTGGAAGCAATTTCATTTTCACGTTCTACATCTTTGTTCTGTACAGAAAAAAAGATAACTAATTAAAACAAGCAAATAAACAAACAAGTCACAACTTACCAAATTTTTCTCCTCAAATTGTCTCAACAATTCCTCTTCACTTTCATCCAATTCCAAATCGAGTAATTCCTCCAATAAGTCCTCATTATCTAGTTCTTCAACTTCGGCACGCACATGGGCCAGGGCCACCAAGCCCAATAATAAGATCAGAGACCACTTCATGCTTCTGAAAGTGAATATTTAATAAACATGGAATTTTTAATGCCACTCTATGCTAGTCTTAAGTTATAAAATCGGCTTGGTAGAATGCTGATAAGAATGGAAACTCATTCTCATCACTCTCTTCCACTCGGCGTCTCTTTTCTTTGATTTTAATTTATGCACGTCTACAATGTATTTTAAAATAGTGGGACAAAGGGATTCTAGAATTGTATTAGATGACCTTAGCTTCTTCCGAGCGTATTTCAAAATGTATTTCGAAATTGATAACGTTTTATTCAAATTATTGTACTCTTCACTTAGATGGGACTGGGAATAAGAAAAAATCATTGACGTAAATTTCCAAACTTTTCTTAGTCTTGAAATATTAATAGATTACACTGTGTGTGTTCCAGGGTTTTTATGTTTTTTTGTTGTTCTCATTCAAAAGTTGAAAGGTATTCAATTTGGTCAGTCCGCCTGACCGTAGTTCTGAGTTCGATTACACTGTGCAACACAAAGAATAAATAAGTTTGCCAAAAATTAAACAATATTGAAGAAATTTTTGATGATCATATTTAATATATAAATTTCTTTTGTTGCACATTGAAACTTGATGTAGAATATTTCTCTTTTTTGAAATTTTCCGTGTTAAATAAATAATAAAAAACGTATGATATTTTCATGCTTCAACTTGATGAATAATACTTTTGTCTTGGACGGTGTCCTTCTAAAATAATGCTTTATAAGAGAATTTTGCACAAACTAACATAAGGTACAGCTTTAACCCAAAATTTAATATATAAATTTCTGACGTTTAGGAAAGATTTAGACTTTTAATATCTTCTGGAAACTATATTGGATTTTTTTGGAAAAATAAATTTGTACAAGCTACGACCAAGTTTTAAGGGAGTTCTTAACCATATTTTGAAAAGAGAGTCAAAAAGACCCTTTGAGAGTTAAAGTTTTTGACCTGTAATGTATTCCAAGGAATCATAATCCGAACATTTAAAAAGTAAGGAAGAAAAAGCGCGTTTTTGTGTCAAGCCTCCACTCTGGTATGTCAAATTCACAAGGTATCAAGGAAAACCTGGCCATAGTGTTTTGACTTTACTCTGTTTCTTTCTCAGAAAAGACGATATAATCGACCAATTGCGAATAACATCCCTAACTGGGAACTAATGTCCTAAGTTAAGAACATTGTAATTTTTAGTTTATTACGAACCTTGGTGTACTCAAAAATTATAACTATTGATTATTTTCTGTTGAAGTAAGTTATTTTGTACCTTTCGAGATATTTTGAATTAAAACGCATTTAAATATAAAATTAACGAAATCATGCAGATATATTTATGGTTACATTGTTTTTATGCGCCCAGCCATATGGCTAGAGAGGGTATATCATTTGATACGGCGAAAAATAACGAATGGATAATATCGGCCCCCTCCATCAAGTATTTCCCCCCACCAAGGGTCAAAATCTTGAATAATTATAAATTTTAAATAATGTGATGTACACAATATTTTTATTAACCCAAGGTCTGGTGTGACTATGGACAATATCGGTCCACTACTTCTGGTACCTCCCCCACAAAAGGGTTTAACATTTTTAATATCCATGAAGCTCATAAAACGCGAAATTAATACACAATTCCATTAAGATTTGGCACATCTCAATATTTCCATAAACCCAAGATTTGTTATAAAGATGGTAGATATCGGATCATTCCTTCTGGTACCTCCCCCATAAAGGGTTAAAGTTTTGAATAACCTAAAGATTAGAAAATCCGAAAAAAGCATCCGGTTCTCTTTATATTTCACACATCCCTTTTTTCTAACACAAGATCTGGTGCGAAAATGGGATATATGGGTCCACTCCTTCTGGTACCTACGCTTCAAAGAGGTCAAAAGGTTGAATATCCATCAAACTTATAAAACGCGAAATTAACATCCGATTGCATTCAGACTTGGTAGCTCTCAATATTTCCATCGACAAGAAATTTGTTATAAAGATGGTAGAGATTGGACGATTTCTTCTGGTTCCTCCCCCACAAAGGGTTCAAGATTTTGAACAACAAAACGCTCAATGTTTTTTGCTAACACAAGATCCGATCTTTTGTGAACATGATATATATTTGTCTACCTCTCCTTTACCTCAAGGGTCACAATTTTCAGTACTTCTATCTGTCATAACTTGCGAAAAAAGTCAGCGATTCTTTACAACTTTCTCTCAACCAAAAACCTGAGACGAATATGGAATTTATCGAAATTTATGATTTCATAAAATTGGATATAAATGTTCGATTTTCTTGTAATATAGTCCAAACCTGGCACGTCGCAATATTTATATCATGTTTATATAGGTCCTATTCCTTCGGAACCTAGTCCATAGAGGGTCAAACATTTGAATAATCATAACAGAAGTCAAAATATATTTAAATAATCGAACATTGGCGGAAGGTAAACATCTGTCGGCCAAACCGACTACTACTTTTTAACTTGATATTTTTTTGTGGCTGTAAATAAGTAAGTACAAGTAACCCCTTTACATTGAACTGAATAAATTAAAAAATCTAAAAATTTCGCCATTTCCTTTTACATACAAGCAATTTCAAAACTACCCCTAAATAACAACAAAAAATGTACAGTGCTGATCTTTGGCAAAGAAAATTCTCACGAATATTTAGAAAGCAATAAATTTCTTCTGCTTAAGAAATCTGTTTTTTTTTTCAATCTTATTGTATGATAATTTTTGTACAGTTGAGCCCAATTATCCCTTTTTTCTTAAATGTATGTCTGTTTAAAACAATACACCTTAAAGGAAGTTTAAAATGGGGTTGGTTAATTACAATCGATATTACTTTTCCTCCCTTTGTTGATAGAGTACCTTGATTTTGAAAGACAATAGATCCTTTTCTTCGGTGAGTCCAATAAATTATCAATTTTATAGCAGGGCGGAAATACAGACTAAGATTAAATTTTCTTTTGTTTATCATCGACAGATCAAATAATGGCAAAGATTATTGTCGAATTTTTCGAAATCCTTAAATGTTTTTCCCAAGTTGCGTGGATATCAACACTGAAACTGATAAAAAAACTAGTCCAAGCTAGGTTCATGTGTCCATTTTTTATTGTATGAATCTCCATGACTAAGTGAGAACATGAGGCAATTGTTACAAGGCGAGAGGACATTATTGCATAATTACAATTTCCAAAAATACCTAAAAGGGGGTAGTAGCCCCTTCCTCCGATTTCAAATATATTTTACATTTTGGCTATGTTTTAATTTAATTTCGCCAATATTTGACATTTTTAGTTTTTATCGTGTGGAAACCCTATTTACAAAAAATTTTTAATAGTAAATAGCGTTTCCACACAGTAATGTCTAAAAATGTCAACATTTTGTTAAATTAAATGAAAACCAGTAAAGAAAGTCTTAAAGTCGGGCGGGCCGACTTTGCATATTTAGTAGAGCTTCACATAAAAAATAAAAGTTTTTATGAGAGAATTAAATCATACTATGATTATAGTTATAATTTTAAGTCCAAAGGACTAAATTTGCCGAGGCATTTGTGTCTTTTTAATTCGTGATTGTATTACCCATTTGATGCACAATTAACTTGAAATCAGATAAAGATATATATGGGAACTATATCCAAATCTGAACCGATCTCGATAACATTTCTAAGCTGAATTTGAAATATTTTACACATGTAAGTGTACCCATGCATATTACACATGTAAGGGACTTTAACTCCAAATCGGATGAACAATATATATGAGAGCTATAGCTATATCTGAACCGATTTTCACCAAAAATTACATAGTACTTTCTAGACTAAATTTGGTCGTAAGTGCCAAATTCCATCACATTTGGGGTAATATTACACGTTTGGTGCACAACAAAATACAAATCGGACGAAGATATACATGGGAGCTATATCCAAATCTGAATCGATCTCGATAAAATTTAGTAAAGTTATTTCTGAGCTGTATTTGATATAATTCGCCAAATATCGTTGTTACAGCGTGCATGTTACGGCTGCGGAAGACAAAAATAACAAATCGGATGAACAATATATATGTGAGCTATAGCTATATCTGAATCGATTTCGATCAAATTCGGAATACTTACTTACAGACCTAATTTGGTCGTATGAGGAAAATTTCATACTATTCCATACTGATATTACAGATTTGGTGCACAATAAAATGCAAATCGGACGAAGGTATTTATGGAAGCTATATCTAAATTTTAAACGATTATCTCCAACTTCAATAGGGTTCGTCCTTGGATCAAACAAATGATTTGTGCAGAATTTCATCTCGATCGGGCAATAAATGCGACCTGTACTTTGTTTACAAAAATACATGGGCAGACGGACGGACATGCATAAATCGACTCAGGATGTGATTCTATGCAGATCATCAAAAGGAACTATGGGTCTGTCTCGTTTCCTTTTGCCTGTTACAAACAAATGCACAAATACATTTAACCATCTTGTGGTGTAGGGTATAAAGACCCATTTGTTGACTTAAGGGTTACAAATTTCGAATAAAAAATTTCTCGTATTTTAATATTTTAACAAGTAAAAAGCAGCAAAGTTCCGAACTTTTAGTACACTCCACCACTTGGAAGGAACTTGAAAATTTCCGAAAAAATACCCATTAAATGATGACCTTTGTACGGGGAAGACGTGGAACAGCATAAGCATTTTTGTCATAGGCTGTAGTGCCCATTAAGATATTTAAATACGAAATTTGAAACAATTCCGGCGAAATACCGAATAAAGGGAGGAATCGTTATATGGGGGCTAGAGAAATTAATTAAGATAAGGCTGTACTACCCATTACGAACTTTGCATACGAAATTTTAAACAATTCCGGCGAATAATGTCGCTAAAATCAGTATTTTGATGATTGGAGGTGTCGTTATATGGGGGCTATACGAAGACGAAATTTTTAGGCATAGGCTGTAGTACCCATTACAAACATCGAATACGAGATTTCAAATAATTCGGGTGAAAT